ATATTTATTTTTATTACAATTTCATCTTTAAGTGAAATTACTATTTTGGATATTATATCCAATTCAAATAAACAAACGTCTCATTGCACGTCCAGACTTCACATCCATTTGTTGAAGCTGTTAAAGCTCCAAGTTTATTGTAGCTGCTACTTCTTCCATTGAAGCTGTTGAAGCTCCAAGCCAATTGTATCTTTCCATTTCCATTAGTTTACACACTGGCGTCATCTTCATTCATCATTGTTATGAAGGATTTCTCCACAACCACTATCACTTTTTTAGAAGCAAATAAATTAATAATACTTGCATCATCTAGTTTTTCTTTTTTTTTTTTTTTTTCAATTTTCTTTTGATTATTTTCACTTTTTTTATCATACATTTCCACTCTGATTAAGCGAACCCAAAACTTATTCAGAGCAATTTGCCACTGGAGAAGAGAGCCTTCGTAAGACCACACCCCATTCAAAAACATGCCACCGCGCGCCTCCTTTGGCTGATTCGCTTAATTTAAACAAACTAACGCCGCGTTTATTAATGTTTTCAATTTTTAATTTTTAATTTGCAAAAAAATATGAAACATATTTTTGTTTATTTTTTTAAAAAATAAAAATAAAAATAAAAAACTTATTTGATATACAAAATTATTTCTTAAATAAATAAAAATAAAAAAATATATTTGATGAGTTATCAAAGTTGGTGGTTAAAGATGGAAGGTGAACAGATGTGATCACTAGTAGTAGCGGGTGGTTAGAGGTGTCTGCCGAAATTAGTGGTCTGGTGTCACTGGAGGTCACAAGATGGCTGAAAATCGTGACGATTATCACTCACCTATCAGAGAGCACCGACGCTAACCAGAGCTCACCATCCACCGGCGATAGGTTATGGAGGTCCATGGCCAATGGTAGTGGTAGCAATGGATTGTGGCCGAAAGTGATGAGTGAGAGCAAAAAGTGAAAACTTGTTTTAAAAACAAGTGAAAATAGATTTTTTTTTTAAAAAAATTTGAAAATTTAAAAATTAATTTCATTTTTTTTAAAACAAAAACATTTTAGCAAAGAAGATTTTATTTTTAGTTTCTACAAAGAAAAACAAAAGCAAAAATGTTTTATTCACACAAAAATTTTCCCAAATGAATATCTTACCGATAAGAAATTCATTGGAGAGACAAAAAAATTATGTAGATGTAACATTACTGGACAAAAATATCAACAAATGATTTTGCCAATGAATTCATTTCCCTTGGGATAATAGTTATATCTAGCAATTAATATGGATCAAAGGTTAGCCAATCTTAAATAAAATATATAAATCTCAGTCACCTCCGCAATCACTAAGGATCCTCTACAGTGTTTTTTTCCTAAAGTTTCCTAAAGTGGTGTATTGTGTGGTTGAGATTTAATGTTAAAAAATTGATGTGACTTGTCATTAAATCTTAACTATACAATGCACCACTCTAGGAAATTTTAAGAAAAAAAAATTCTAGAGGATCCTTGCATAATGTAAAAATTATTAATAAGTTTTATTTTGTCTTGAAAATTACTGTTAAGCCCTATTAATAAGTATTAATTTGGATGATTAAGTCTTACTTTAATAACTTTTTTCAAAAGCTATAATATTCTTTATAATAGTATATTTTATTCTAATTTACCATTATCATTAAAATATGAATAAAATTTACAACAAAAAAAAAAGGTTATTTAATATTTTATAATTAAAAATATATTTAATTGTTTGAATTAAATAAATTTTCATACCAAAGCATCATTGATGAACTTTTAATAAAATTGTTGGAACAAACTTCTGTGTACAATAAATAAATTGAAACAAAATCAAATAAATAAAATAAATAACTTACAGAATTTATTTTATCGAACCGAATGGAAAATAAAAGATCGAGTCGAGTGTGTGACACTCTATCCTTAAGACAGATTCACCCCGCTACGGTGTTTACGGTTAAGTGGCGTCTATCTCCTAGGATACAATGATCTTCACAAATTTGTAGTAGCACTCCAAATAAATTTGTTCGACGAACTAGAACCTTGTATTCTATACTCTCTTTAATTTTCTCTAACACTAGAATAAAGAATAAAATGCAAAGGAGAAATATGGACTGCAAAAATAATTTTTTCAGATTGTTTTTTTGGATAGCAAGACTGCTGGAACAGATCTGAATTTATAGGCAATCAAAATTGCCGAACAAGTGCAGTATTTTGAACCGAACAGGTAAGGTTTCAAATGAACAGGTACAAACACCAACTGAATAGATAACTGCTAGAAATGAAGATATGCCCGAACTGTATGAACCTGTCAAACAGTGCAGTTTCGAAACTGTAACTGTTGGAAGTTATGAGCAGTTTTATGTAGTTAATCTGTTGAAAATTCGGACTGAAGTTGGTAATATATGGACAAAAATTTAATTTCAACTTTGATTCGAATTTTAATTTCATTAAGAATTTCTGAAAAAAATTCAAATAAATTTTATCCAAAAAAATAAATATTAGAATTGACTCGACCCACAACCCGCGCTCGGCACAGATGACGGCGCGCATGTGGTGGTTTTTAGCCAAGGTTCTATTTGTCTATAACTCCTCCCTTCTACAAACTTGGGGTGCCCATTTGGGCCCAACCCAAGTGTTGTAATAGAGAGCTTATATACACACAAAAACTTTCTTAAAATTTCAATGTGGGTCTAACTTTACAAAGAAACCCACATTTAAAACTTTAAATATCCATTTCACGAACCCGAAAACGACGTCAACTTTCCATTCACTTATAAATAGTTTTGACGAACCGTTTTCACCGTGTGACTTACCATGCAATAAGGAACACGTCACCTCTTCGGACTCACCCCAAAATATGTTTGAGACCCACTCAATTTTGGGCTCAAAGTTTGCCCAAAATAAGCCTTATAAAAAATCAATTTTCCAACAATTTTATCATTTCAGATTGTTTACCAACAAAAATTCCATAGCTTGAAACAAAAAATGATAAATTTTATGCCATAATTCTTTTGATCTGATCATTTTCTATGATTTTGTTTTTTAAATTGTTTATGCATTTATAGTCATATTAAATGAGAAGATTAAAATTAGAATAAAATACACCATTATGAAAAATTAAACTTTTTTAGAAAAATTAATTTTAAAAAAATAAAAAAAAAGAAGGCTTAATTGTCCATATTACAAATTTAATATGACTTAATAGTAATCTTGTGAGCAAATCACTACTCAGTGATAATTTTGTATTTTTTCCTAAAGGAATAGACACTAGGTGGCCCAGCAACTCAACAACCATTTGACATTGTTGTTTTTCGGTACATTTTATGATCATTGATGAGTCAAACAATATAGCTCAGGCTTGCATTTCTGCACAAGATTTGCAATCAGGTGAAAAACAAAAGACAGTGTAGCCTTAAAAATAAACTACTCAAACCAGTCACAACCATACACCAAGCAGACTAAAACAGTGCTATGGTTCAAAGGTCATGCTCCAATGCCAGAAACTTCCAAGCCTCAAAACTCAAACCCAATATTCTCAGTCCCAAAGTCAGCCGCAAATTCGTCCTTTCTTTTTTTTGGGCAGCAAAAGTAATTTTATTGAAGAAAATGAGATGAAAAATGAGAGGGCAAGAGTCCTCAAAAATCAAACATGAGAACTGTGATCAAAACCAAACAAAATAAGAACTATGTATGGTAAACAGACGTCCAATCTCTAGAAATCAAAAACAGCGGGACCCCTTTAAACAGAGGGGACACAGAAGCTCAAGACGATACCAAACTGCAAACTTTATCCCACATATAGAATCCAAACTCCCCAAATTTGTCTTCGAAACTTTTGCATTTCTGTCCAACCAAATGATTCCAAAGATTGTATATACCACACAAAGCCAGCCCTTTTCAACCTCCATTCTCACCTAGGTCTTATATTTAGGTCTCAACAACAGTTACACACCCCTAAATAAGTTCAAATCCTGCTGCCTGCACGCTGCAACTACACTAAAGCCAACCAAGTTGACTACTGAGTTCTACATCAATTTAAGGAGCAGTATCCTAATATTTACTATTACATTTGTTCTGTGTTTCCCGCATACTTGGATCCAAAATGATGGTTCTTGTCAAGTAAAATGAAGATGAAAATTGAACTGATAATGAAAACATGCACAATAATCTAGAAAGCTTATTTAAGGATTGAGTACATCATTAAAAAAGACCGCAAACAGATGCAAATGACAGTTTGTCACGTTGGAAAACATGGCCATGAGAAGAGCTTAGACAAAAAATTATTATGAAAACAACAGAGTTCAAAATTGGGATTCTGGGAAAAAAATGTGAATGTGCCAGTCCTAACAGACTAGAGTTTACCAAGGCAAGTTGACATCGTCAAAACATAAACACAATCACCACAACTACATTCAAAGTTTCCATCTCTTATGGCAAACTATATTGGTTACACCTAGTCAAACATATTCTTTGAGAATACACTATATGCCCTCAAGAATCAAATCCACACTTGAAATGTTCCAATAAAGGTTAGACATGTCACAGTTGCAGCTTCTGAACAATTTCTTCAAAAATTTCGAGAATAAAAAAGTAACCATGCCACTTCGGGAATAAACAATGTTTGTGGTTCACCTAAATCAGCAGCAATTTAGTGATTGCAATATGCAGATATCAATGACATTATTAATCAGTGAACTAATGTTACAACAAAAGGGCATCTGACAAACCAAATGGAAACATGTTACAAAAAAATGGGGTGCATTTCACTGCTAAAACTTTTAAAATCAAATGACTTCATAAATTTTAGAATACAACTTGTTTTCACAATCCCTAATGGTTCATCATTATCCAAAGAAGGGAGACATACCATTACAGAACAGAAAATATTACAATTTATAATTGCAAACAAACCATCATCCTATAATCAGTGAACTAATGTTGCAACAAAAGGGCATCTGACAAACCAAATGGAAACATGTTACAAAAAAATGGGGCTCATTTCACTGCTAAAACTTTTAAAATCAAATGACTTCATAAATTTTAGAATACAACTTGTTTTCACAATCCCTAATGGTTCATCATTATCCAAAGAAGGGAGACATACCATTACAGAACAGAAAATATTACAATTTATAATTGCAAACAAACCATCATCCTATGCTTTTGGTTTACATCAGGGAAAATAAACAACCAATGAACTTTACTTATTGGGCATTGCAAAGAAATTCCATGAGGATGTTAAGTAATGAACTCACACAAATTCAGTGTGACAAAAACTAGACCTAATAACAGTATTCTTACCTCAAAAGCAAGTTCATAGTCATCATACTCTTACTGGTTTCTGTAGAACAGCAGATAAATAAACCTCTGGTTTCCCAGACCCATTCCCCTTGTCTCCCACAACCCATTTCAGCTTTTTGTACCCAAACTGTTCGATTAACCGGGTTAAAGCCATTTTCTTTTCATCACTGGCACAATAAAAGTTGTCCAACCAAAACAGCCCACCGGCCCTCAAAATCCGATCAATATCAAACATCAAGAATTCCAATTTCTCCGGGCGACCCCCAACATCCAATCCACTCCCAGCGTGAACCAAATCGAACAAGTTATTGTAAAATGGGAATTTGTGATCCAAACTCAAATACAGAGGGAAAATCCCTCTTGCAGCAATGAATTCGCTAAATGGAGCATCAATATTCAGTGTGGCAGTGACAACAGTCACATTCTTCTCTGCCATTCTTGCAGCAAAGGACCCAGACCCACCACCGAGATCGAACCCAATTCTAATTCCACCACTTCCTAAAGCTAAAACATCATTAATAAGGAAATCATTCTTGCCTCTAGGCTTAACATATCTCTGATTCTCATACCCATTAACCAAATCAAAGCAACCGACACAATCTCTATTCAATTTCTTACCAATCAAACACTGTACATTCTTGCAACCAAGTCCACTCCAGTTCATGATCCTATCACTAACATTCTTCCAAAGAGAAATTGGAAAAGAGTACAAACCTATTTTGGGTATTGACTTTGCAAAGCACCTCCTTCTGGGCAATGGTTCACATCCTCGCAAAATCAGCTTCTGGGCAAGGCTCCAATCGTCTGGGCAAGGACCATTGACTTTGTAATTCATGTACTGAGAGAGCAAATCCACAGATTTCTCACAAGAATGACCCACGGAGGCCACCATTTCAGTGATCCCAGTCCTTGAATCTTTGCCAAGTGGAAGCTCGTGTTGTTTGAGGAAGAGTTTGAGCTCGTTTGCGATGTTGGGTCGTGAAAGATCGATGCTTTCGTAGCCGAGAAGCTCTTTCTCCATCTGGGCAAGCTTTTTCTGAGAAGAATCGATCTCTCTGAGGATGAGAGAGACTTGTTCGGAGATGAGAGAGATGTTCTTGTGAGAGTGGTGAAGTGGGTGGGGATTTGGGGAGGAAGTGAAAGCATACAAAGCGAAGAGATTAGTAGTGAGGACAGAGAAGAGCATGAGGACATTTACAGCTGAAGAACAGAGAGTTGCTCTTTTGAATCTGGCTGTTCCATCGCCTATCTTCAGTGAAACCGATCCCATCTCTGCAAGCTCCCGAGAGAGAGAGAGAGAGAGAGAGTGAGACTGTGAAGTGAGAGATGAGATATGTGTAGAAAAACAAATATAATTAATTACACCACCACTTCCTCACCAACACTCCCTCAACGATTATACAATATTATTTTACTTTTCTTATCTATAAATTTGGGAAGTTTTTTTTTTTTTTTTTTTTTTACACACTAGTAATTGGGTAAATTATAAATACATTCTTAAAATTTGATTAAAATTAAATTGTCTTTCTTCAATAATCCTCATCCTCGCGAAATCAGCTTCTGGGCAAGGCTCCAATCGTCTGGGCAAGGACCATTGACTTTGTAATTTATGTACTGAGAGAGCAAATCCACAGATTTCTCACAAGAATGACCCACAGAGGCCACCATTTCAGTGATCCCAGTCCTTGAATCTTTGCCAAGTGGAAGCTCGTGTTGTTTGAGGAAGAGTTTGAGCTCGTTTGCGATGTTGGGTCGTGAAAGATCGATGCTTTCGTAGCCGAGAAGCTCTTTCTCCATCTGGGCAAGCTTTTTCTGAGAAGAATCGATCTCTCTGAGGATGAGAGAGACTTGTTCGGAGATGAGAGAGATGTTCTTGTGAGAGTGGTGAAGTGGGTGGGGATTTGGGGAGGAAGTGAAAGCATACAAAGCGAAGAGATTAGTAGTGAGGACAGAGAAGAGCATGAGGACATTTACAGCTGAAGAACAGAGAGTTGCTCTTTTGAATCTGGCTGTTCCATCGCCTATCTTCAGTGAAACCGATCCCATCTCTGCAAGCTCCCGAGAGAGAGAGAGAGAGAGAGAGAGAGAGAGAGACTGTGAAGTGAGAGATGAGATTTGTGGAATGGTTGTAATGAAAGCTTCAATAATGGTGTTGTTAGATTGTGAAGAAAAACAAATATAATTAATTACACCACCACTTCCTCACCAACACTCCCTCAACGATTATACAATATTATTTTACTTTTCTTATCTATAAATTTTTTTTTTTTTTTTTTTTTTTTTTTCACACACTAGTAATTGGGTAAATTATAAATACATTCTTAAAATTTGATTAAAATATAAATTGTCTTTTATAATTTTAAAAATTACATTTCACCCCTTGAGATTTTTAATTTCATAACAAATCGTCATTTTTATTAATAAATCATCAAGTAAATTAACAGTTTTTAATGATATTAAAAATTATTTCAATTAATAATTTAGGTAATTTTATTATTGTATATGAGAGCAATTATGAATTTCATTTTTTTAGTTAATTTTGTTAAATAAAAAATTCTAATAAAGAAATATTTGTAATTTTTCAAACCATAAAGAACAATCTATATTTTAAGCAAACCTCAAGGACTGTATTTCTAATTTACACTAATTATTTCAAGACACACTATTTTCTAGTTTTTTTCAATTACCATTTTGACACTCAATAAAATTACCAAAAAGGACAAGAACACCCCAACTCAAACCATCTTTTGTTTCGCAAACCCTATCCAGTGCCGACACTTTCTCCTCCAGTTACCGCTCTTATTCTTTAAAAACCACCGGCCATAGCCACCGCTACCATCACCGTCTTTTTCGTGAACACTTCTATCTCTGCCACCAATTCCCCAACTTCATCACACCATCATCTCCTTAGTAACCCCATCACATTACCACCGTTGCTCGTGACGAAGAGATGCAGATCATGATTGAGAGAAAGAAAAATTGCTTGCTACTTGCTGTTTTTCCTGCTGCCCTTCACTTTTGGCACCATCGAAATCTCCTTATTCTCTTCGTTCGCTCTCTCTCTCTCTCTCTCTCTCTTTCAATTGAGCTTAGTCAATCGTGAGGGTTGAGATGGCAATCATAAAGGTTGGGAATGGCAATCACTAGGGCTACGGTGATGGCGACGATAGGTTATGGGGATGGTAGAATAGAGCAGGGTTGAAGTAGGGAAGGGCTGGAGTTTGGAGGAGGAACAACGACAGTCAAGATGGTTTGTGAAGATATGGGCGAAGACGAAGGTGAAGGTGAGTCCCTAGAGCTCGCAATAGCGAGGAATGGAACTGTTGGAGTTGGGTTAGGGTTTGGGCTTGGGTAATTTGGATATAAAGTGGTGTGAATTGAGAAAATAAAAAAGTTGTAAGGATGTGAACTGAGAAATAATATGTCTTGATATAAATATTGATATGTAAATAGAAATTTCCCTAAATTTGTGTACGGGGAGCAAATATTCAGGCGAGCCCGTATTCTTTTCTTCCAAGCTCCGTTTCTGTCCGATCACCTGCGTGCACAATAGCAGTGAGCTATCCGGCGGTCTGTGGCCAGAAAACCCCTCCGACGATCAAGTTAGACACACACACAGGGATAGAAAGAGAGAGAGGACTGAGTTGAGTGTAAGTATTTCTCTTACCAAATATTCATCGATCTCAGCATGGGGGGCGCAGACTTGCTTATATACCTTTTGTGCCCCAAATCTACTCTCATTCATCTCTCGACATGTGGTGCTGCTATCCCATCTATCAACACAAATCTTGCTGAACACCACCTAACCAAACTGCCAGCCCACTCTACTGGGAGCTCGGCAGTCGGGTCGAATCTTCTCGACTATCAATGGCCGTGCTGTGCAGCTGGCTAGAGCACTCCGCTCGCCGTGCTCAATGAGGACCGAGCTCGTCTGCATCCCAGCATAGCCGAGCTCGGGACAATTCATACTGGTTTTGCCGCCGGCCTTCCTGCCCGGCTAACTCATGAACCGTGAAACAACAACGCCGTTCCTGGCGCCGGACATCTTACTTGCCCGGCCTCTATACCATACAGCCAAGTAGCTCGGTCTAACCATGCCTTGCCTTAACCGAGCAAATCCTTTCAGGGCACGGGCCGCGCTACCTCGGCCCAATCTTGTTCGGCCCAAATCTGTCCGGCCATTACCACGGCCCAAACCAGATCATAAATTCCCTCTCAATTGCCCCTTAATTCCGTCCGCACAAGTGTGACTAGGATTACCTATTCTGACCGAGGTAACACTTCATCGGTCCTCGGTTTACAATACAATGACTAGGCTAGTTGGCATGCCTGTCTTCAAAACTTGCCCGGTCGACGCCTCGATTCACCATCCTGTCTCTTCAATACTGACGCCACCGTCAATAGGGACACGTGTCGTGCGTTGATTGGTCTCGAACGGCCAAACATCACATCCGTTCAGATTCAAATTTTTGGCGGTCTTCCTCCCTTATATACGCCATTTCCTTCTTCATTTCATCTTTACTGACTTTCCTTCATCCTTGTTGATCCAGAGCTTCTGCCATTCCTTTCTTGCCATTACTGAGTTCGTGTTCGAGGAAGTACACTGCTCTCAACTGGTAAGTTTTTCAACCCCTTTTGTTGTTATTTCACTTGGTATTTCGCATATTAGGGCACTAAATCCGCAGGTTTTAGGACATAGGCACCCAAAACCGTCCCTAACCCTTCACTCTCCTTGCTGTTCTTCATTTTTCTCTGATGAACATTGAAGATCTGGGGCGGACCGGGCTCCAGGTCTTCCTTTGATCCAAAAAATCATTCAGACCGAGCAAATAAGCAGTTTGTCCCAACCTTAGTAGAAACCGGGGTAGCAAAAAGGACTTGGCCGCTCGACCGGGCTAATCTCTGGTTCGCTTGAGCGACCAAGCTCCTTGGCTAGCCTTTACGACCGAGGTGGTTTGGCATAACCCATGACCGAGCTCAAGTCTAGCTCGTTTTGCACGACCGCGCTCCCACTTACAATTACCCTCCGTTTTCCTGCAGAGTCCAAGGGGACCAAAGACCAATTCTGAGGTTCTCAAGGACCGAGCAGCCATTAATTCCCAATCTATGCCAAACCACCTCTGCCGAGCTAAATTAGTCGGCCACACATGGGGAAATTCTGCTTCCTTGTGGACACACCTGCTACCTTGGCTGCCTTCAAGAAAGAATACGGTATCCCGCCAGATGTCCATTTAGAGCTTGCCGAGATGGAAACAACCCCTTGGGGTAGGCTTGACCAATGCCCCGTCACTGTGCTGCCAGTAATTGAAAGAGGCCTCCGCTTCTCGGTCAACCCTTTGATGACCGAATTTTTGCGCTGCACCGGGCTAGCACCCACCCAAGTTTCGACCAATACTTACCGAATAATCAATGGCATGCACAAGCTAAACAACAGGCTAGGAACAAACTTAGGTTTAGCCGAGATACTACGACAATACACCCTTGGGCACACCGGCGACGGCCTGGCCTATTATTTATAGATAAGACCGACAAAGAGAAAATTGTGACCGGCACTCCAGACAAGGACTTACATGATGACAAATTCTTCTGGGTGTCTGGCAATTATGAAACAGTCGACGTACCGGGCTGGTTCATCAGCAAGAACTTTGGTTCCACATGTAAGCCGCGCTAATTTGCTAGGTTAATTTCCTGCCTTCAACATTCTGTACTTAACCATTTTTCCTGTTTCTTTTGCAGCAATTCAAGCCTTGCAATCCAACTACCAATATCCCTGGCCTATTATTTATAGATAAGACCGGCAAAGAGAAAATTGTGACCGGCACCCCAGACAAAGACTTACATGTTGACGAATTCTTCTGGGTGTCTGGCAATTATGAAACAGTCGACGTGCCGGGCTGGTTCATCAGCAAGAACTTTGGTTCCACATGTAAGCCGCGCTAATTTGCTCGGTTAATTTCCTGCCTTCAATATTCTGTACTTAACCATTTTTCCTGTTTCTTTTACAGCAATTCAAGCCTTGCAATCCAACTACCAATATCCCAACGTAGAAGCCATCCGGACCGTGCTCCGTTACAGCAACCGGGATTGTAACGAGTTGCTCGGCTACACTCCAACCTACAGATACTCAGCTCCACGCTGAAGCAAAGTTACAGACTTTCTCCGTGCTCCAACACCTCCTCCAGACCCAACTCTACCGGACGTGCCGCTAATCCGGCTGACCGAAGAACAAGAGATGGCAAAACGAAGCCGCATCAAGAACCTCCTCATAGCAACCTCAGTCGAGATACCGAGCATCATCACCCACTCGCAAGCTGACGGTCAATCCAGCGGCCCCGTGGTTGCCTTGGCATCTCTAGCCACCGGGCAGGCCAGACAAGAGACTCGCCGGGCTGGCAAAAGACCTCGCATAGATCCAACTGCCGAGCTGGTTGTCGAGCTAACCACCGAGCAACCCACCGATACTGTCGACCCAACACCACCATGGTGACCGCAGCTAAAATACCGGGGTAAAGACATCCCGGCTAACGCTTCCGTCAAGGGCGACAATGAGCATTTGCTCCCATTCAACCTTTCAAAAGCCCTTCTGTTGCCGAGCGACGTGGTTAGCAGCGACCACGTCCCTGACACCCGGTTGGTGAAATCTGCCGTGAAGTTCATGACCAGGGTAAGAATCTCAATCTTCTACTGAAATTTTTACAAGTGTTTGCACGGTTTCTTCTCTGATCAGACTTTCTTCTTGCAAGCCATCCAGAAGCAACACTTGGTCATGGAGTGAATCCATCGACTGCGGCAGAAGGCGAATGACACTGCCGGCCAAGTTTAGAGGCCAAGTCCAGAGTCTTCAAACTGAGCTCGGCCGAGCAAAATCTTCACTGCAAATTGCCAATGCTGACAACAACAGGTTGCTCGGCCAGCTTAACGAAGCCGAGAAGAAGAGGGATGAGCTCCAGGCCGAGCTGGATGCATTGAAGAACTCAAGGGAAAAAGAACTTGAGGATGCCAATAACGCCGGCTTTAAGGAGGTCGAAGACAGCTACCAAAAGCAAGTCTTTGCCACCCAAGACATCTACTTTAAAGCTGGTTGGAAGTCTGCCTGTGCTCAGCTCGGTCAAGGTCCCGAGACCGACGTATTTACCTCTCCGCCAGCTGTCTTCTTGCCGGTATACCTCGTGCCCTATGCCAACGACGTCTTCAGCGCGTTGCAAGCTGAGGCCGAGGAAGAGCTTGCCAAAGAAACCGAGGCCAATGCCGAGGAAGGAAGCAGCCAAGAGCAACCTGGAGAAACTGGGACCGGTGTCCAAGAGTAAACAACGGTCAACCTGGAGGCAGCTGATGGCGAATTCAATAATCTTTCCCCCTTGTGTAGTTTTCTATTTTCTTTCATTTTGCTCGAAATGTAACCGGGATAATTACCCCATCTTTTGTACTAATTTTGTATATCAATGAAAAACTCAGTTTCCTTCAAGTGTTTGCACGGTCCTAGAGCTGAGTAACTTCAACCGGACAAAATATCTCGGCAAAACAAATTTCATTAATTAACTCATATAACCGGAATAAATCATCTCGGTAGTACACCCAGAGTTGAGCAACACATCAAGTCTTTCAACCGGAATAAACATCTCAGTTGAGAATACCTAAGTTGAGCAAAACATCAACTTTTTCACCGGAATAATCATCTCGGTTGAGGTCTTTCAACCGGAATACACATCCTGGTTGAGGGTACCTAAGTTGAACAAAACATCAACTCTTTCAACCGGAATACACATCCTGGTTGAGGGTACCTAAGTTGAACAAAACATCAACTCTTTCAACCGGAATACACATCCTGGTTGAGGGTACCTAAGTTGAACAAAACATCAACTCTTTCAACCGGAATACACATCCTGGTTGAGGGTACCTAAGTTGAACAAAACATCAACTCTTTCAACCGGAATACACATCCTGGTTGAGGGTACCTAAGTTGAACAAAACATCAACTCTTTCAACCGGAATACACATCCTGGTTGAGGGTACCTAAGTTGAACAAAACATCAACTCTTTCAACCGGAATACACATCCTGGTTGAGGGTACCTAAGTTGAACAAAACATCAACTTTTGCAACCGGAGTAAATCATCTCGGTTGAGAATACGCAAAACTCAAAGCAACAAAAAATGCCAAGGCAAAGATGAGTCACTTCTATATATTGACAAAAATGAATATTACATAAAGTGTAAGGCAAAAAATTTCTTTGCACAAAAAAGAGAGCAAAATCTAGAAATAATACAACTTGAGGTTGGCTGCATTCCATGGCCGGGGTATTCCTCTACCATCTAAGTCTTCCAAGTGATATGCCCCCTTGCCCGCCAGACCGGTTATCTTGTAGGGTCCTTCCCAATTTTCCCCTAGTTTGCCTTCACCTGGCATCAGGGTATTGCCTATGACCTTTCGCAAGACCCAATCACCCACTTTGAATGGTCTGGGGTGCACGGATTTGTTGTATTTCCTTGAAAGCTCTTGTTGGTAGGCGACCACATGGATAAGAGCCTTTTCCCGGCATTCTTCCACTAGGTCCAATTCCAAGGCCATGGCTTCGACGTTCAGCTCGGGCTCAAAACTTTCACTTCTGAGGGTGGGCATACCAACTTCCAAAAGGATGACCGCCTCCATGCCATATGCCAAAGCAAAAGGAGTTTCCCCGGTAGATCGCCGCAGGATTGTTCGGTATGCCTAAAGGAGACTGGAGAGTTCCTCAGCCCACTTTCCTTTGGCTTTCTTAAGCCTCTTCTTTAGTCCATCAAGAATGGTCTTGTTCGAAGCCTTGGCTTGACTGTTGGACTGCGGGTAAACTGGAGTAGAGTTGTAGAATTCGATCTTCAAATCTTTACAGAACCCTCTAAACAGGCGGCCGTCAAATTGGGTGCCGTTATCAGAGATCAGAATTTTGGGGACGCCAAACCGGGTGACCACATTCTGCCAGACAAACCGCTTCACGTCTTTTTCCTTGATTGTTGCCAAAGGCTCCGCTTCAATCCATTTGGGGAAGTAGTCTGTGGCCGCGATGAAGAACTTCCGGTTGCCTGGTGCGGTTGGTAGCGGCCCCACTATATCTAGCCCCCACATCGCGAAGGGCCAAGGGCTGGTGAGGGGAAGAAGTTCCCTGGCCGACTGGTGGATCTGGTGGGCAAACTTCTGGCATTTCTCACACTTATAAACATATTTCTGGGCGTCGGCTTGCATGCACGGCCACCAATAACCTTGCGAAGTAGCTCGGTAGGCCAAGGACCTGCCCCCTATATGACTGCCACAGATGCCTTCGTGAATTTCGTAAAGGAAGGCTTCCACGCTGCTCGGGTGCACACACTTCAGGTAGGGAGAGGTGAAAGACTTTTTGTATAAAGCGCCTGATGGAGAGAGCTCGGGTTCACCCGCACTTTATGCGCTTCCTTCTTATCGGCTGGAAGGGTCCGTTTTCTGAGAAAGAGGATTATGGGGTCCATCCAAGAAGGACCTAGCTCGGTGCAGAGTACTTCTGTCTGCCCGGTTTTCTCAATGCTGGGCCTCGAAAGGAATTCAATCAAAAGAGGGTTAGGAGATGTGCTGTCGGCCATAGAAGCAAGGCCGGCCAACTCATCTGCTCGGCCGTTTTCCTCTCGGCCAATCTGTTGGACCTTGATCACCTGAAATCGCTTGATGTGGTCTCTGACCAGAGCTTGGTACTTCATCATTCTGTTATCCTTTGCCTCGTAAACCCCAGAAACTTGGTTAACCACAAGCTGGGAATCACTGTAAACCATTAGTTCGGATGCTTGCATCTGAAGCGCGCTCTTGAGACCGGCCAATAGCGCCTCGTACTCGGCCTCATTGTTGGATGCTAGGAAGCCAAGAGTGATAGAATGTTCTATAGTCAGTCCGTCTGGCGAAATTAGAACTATACCCAGCTCGGCACCATGACGGTTCGAGGTGCCATCAACAAAAAGTTTCCACATTTCGCCGACAAAGAGCTTCCAACACTCTGAGGGGTCCTGAGAAGCTTGAAGGTTGATGGGATCACGGTTGCTCGGCTGTTCGGCTTCCAGTCCCGTGTTGAGCAGTTTCACTTTAGCCCCCCTTGGCGATTCAGCGCCGGACTCAGCAAGTTGATCCATAATGCCTAAGTCCATAGGCGAATCACCAGGTTGCGGTATTATGCCAGCCGTAGGCCCTGTGCTGAGCGGTTCCATTTCTTCCCTCCTCGGTGATGTGGTGTCGGACAAAGAGGGTTGGTCAGTGATAACCAACTCCGTCATCGCATCACCGGGCTGTAGTACCGTATTAACTGAAGGGGCTTCGGCGGGGAGCGCAAGTTCCGCGTCGCCAATGCCGCTAAGCTGTGGTATTTCGGTCGAGGTTGCATTCACCTCTTCATTTGCCACGGCAATATCGACCGGGCATACCGGATGAGTTCCATGTGAGAATTCAGCAACGAAGTCGGCCAAAGTCTGGGCTTTTATGGCTGTGCGCGGCTGGAACTTCACATCAAACTGTCCCAATTCGATCGCCCATTTAAGAATCCGACCGGAGAAGTCTACCCGTTCGAACAAAGCTTTGAGAGGGAACTCGGTCAAGACGATGATGGTATGGGCATGGAAATAGTGTGCCAACTTCTTTAAAGTCATCATCAATGCTAACGCAAGTTTTTCCAGCGGCAAGTACCTCGACTCTGCCGGTAGCAAGGTTTTGCTGACATAGAAGATGGGTAGATGTTTGATTCCTTCCAACCGGACAAGCACTGCACTGACTGCATGCTGCGATACGGCTAGATAAAGGTAAAGTTCTTCTCCGGGCTTCGGTGTGACCAACAACGGCGCTGAAGACAAATACTCCTTGGGCTCGGCCAAAGCCTGGTCACACTCTTCATCCCATGAGAACTTTGATTTCAAGGCTTGAAAAAAAGGGCGGCAGCGATCTGATGACCAGCTTATAAATCGGTTAAGCGCGGCGGCCATTCCGGCCAGATGCTGCACATCCGTTTTAGATCTTGCACGGCTCGGATTTGTGTAGGGTCTGCTTCGATACCTCGGTTCGTGACTAGGAAACCCAAAAATTTTTTGGATCCTACGCCGAAGGCACACTTAGACGCATTCAAGCGTAGCTTGTGCTTTTTGAGAATGGCGAACATTTCGGCCAAATCGGACAAATGGTCTGCTTGATGCCGACTCTTAACCACCATATCGTCAATATAAGTCTCCATTGTCCGGCCTAGCAGAGGAGCGAATATCTTGGTCACCATCCTTTGAAAAGTTGTCCCGGCGTTCTTCAAACCAAAAGGCATGACTCGGTAGTAGAATAGTCCCCTTAGTGTAGTAAACGAGGTGATCTCTCAGTCGGGCCCATGCATGGCAATCTGATGGTAGCCGCGGTAGGCGTCCAAGAAACTGAGCCTGCTATGTCTAGCCGTTAAGTCCACAAGCTGGTCTATTCTAGGTAGAGGGAAGCTGTCTTTCGGACTAGCTCGGTTGACGGTCTTGTAGTCAACGCAAACTCGCCACTTCTCATTCTTCTTGGGCACCACGACTGTGTTTGAAATCCACCAAGGGTAACGCACTTCTTGAATTGCTTGCGCTTCGAGCAAGTTCTTCACTTCCTCCGCAACTACCTCAGCGTGATGCAACGCCGATCTCCTTGTTCGCTGAATGACCGGCTTGGCTCCGGGGAAGACATTGAGATGATGGCATATAAAACTCGGATCGAGACCGGGCATGTCGTAAGGTGACCATGCAAAGACTTCGATGTTGGCCATCAAAAACTTAACCAGTCGGTCCTTTCTTGGGCTGTAAGGCTTGAGCCGAGCAAGAAGAACTTGTCCGGATGCTCTGTATCAATGCGCACTTCCACCACCTCCTTGACAGTTTTGTCCTCGGCCTTTGTGCCCACGTCGTCAAGGACTCTCCGATCTTCCGGTCCCTCAATCATTTGAACGAAGCCTTTGGCAGCTCGGCTCCCGTTGACCGCTATGAAGCATTGCTTCGACATGACTTGATCGCCCTAAACCTCCTCGATTGCCCCCATAACCGAGGGAAATCTCACCACCTAGTGGTAGGTTGACGCTACGGCTTGCATAGCGTGAAGCTATTCCCTTCCAAGGATCAAATTATAAGTGGATGGCACCTGCAACACCCAGAACTCCACCTATTTGACCA